AATAAGGGCTCAATGCCTATTGCTATATACTTGTGATGCTCGTAACCCTCGGTCAGAGGAGCCCGAGCATTCCTCGGTGGCTTATGTACGAGGTTCATTCCTCGATGGATCATGTACGAGGAGTCTGCCAAGACTCTTCCTCGTGCATGCGCCACCGAGGAGGTCACGTGATACGTGCCCCCGCGTTACATATGGCTGGGTCGACTGGCCGTCGATGCTTCTTAACTTAACCGCCGTGCCCCTTCCTTCAGGTTCGTAACAGTTATATAAGCTGCTAATCTTAGATAGGCACAAAAGCCACCTTAATAAGGATTTTAAGGAATACTGCCTTGTACACAAGATTCTTACGCTCTATATGCCCTCTCACTTATCGCACATCCTTTAGCCACTTGATATAGTGTGTTCCTTACTATTAAAATTAAAGTACTCTTAACGCGTACAAGACTTAGCACGCCAACGCGTTTACTATATTAACAAAGAAGGCTTCCTTCTAGCCTTTAAACACGCGTTTTTTAACGTGTTTACGTATAATAACTATAAAAAGGCCTTTAAGGCTTTAGGACTTATCCTTATAAACGCGTAGGTAGTTATAGATCGCCTTAAGGTATAGCTTTATACGCCATCACTAGCACCCCTCCTAGAAACGCCCTAGTAGTGAAGAACACTAAGTAACCCGCTTAAATTTAGATCGCAATTAAGGCTTGTAAGGGAATCCTTTATACGATCACTAACAAGTGCTTAAGAAAGCTTCTTAAAGCTTATTAAAGAAGTAGAAGAGATGCTATATAAGAATGTTCTAATTAAAGCTCGCGTACGAGAGCTTAAAGAGCAATTAGCAGAGGTTACAAAGCGCAAAGGTCGAAAGCGAAAGCGGATCTAGCATAGCGGGACACTAGAGTATGGTGCAGCAGCATCAACAGTAGCTAAGAGTGCTTCTGGTGGTCGTACGATAGCAAAGAGAGCGCGTGGTAGTGGTAGTTAAGAACCAGCCCAACCAGGTTAACGGCGCTGTGGCAACTATAGTAAGACTAGGCACAACGCTCGTACGTGCTAAAAAGATATAGTAGAAGATTCTAAATCTAATACAAGTGTCTTATACAAAGAATTAGTCTATAGTGTTGAGTAATTTATTTGTTTGTACATGGTGTTCGCAGTGCCAAGAAAAAGTGGCCGGCTCACTGGTTTGGCCGCCTCACTGGTGTAGTACGTTATATATATATATATATATATATATATATATATATGTGTGTATGTGTGTACATATGTAAATAGTAAGCAAGGGGTGAGAGAAAGAGAAAAAAAAAGACATAGCAGTAGGAGCAGCAGCAGCAGCAGCAGCAGCAGTAGCAGCAGTATTAATAATCAAGAGGAAAAAAATCCCGAAAATCGAAAACCGAAAAGAAACAATGACAACAAGAAGAGAAAAAAAAAGAAGAAAAAAAGAGAGAGAACACGCTCAATCAACTATGCTGGGATACAATTAAGGCTAGTACTTAGCGAGTAGTAAGTAGCCCATGTGATCATTCTCATTTCAGGCGAGTTTGAGCCAAAAAAAAGAGGAGGGAGGGAGAAAGGGAGGGGGGCAATGAAGCCATCCTACACATGCTCGTATACTTTCCTTTCCTTTCCTTTCCTTACTTACTTACTTACTTGGATGCGTCGTGGGCGTGGTTTGCTCGCACATGCCTCCAAGTGGAATCGTTTCTTCTTCTCCTTCATCTTCTTCATACTGGTCCAACAGAAAACAAGAGATTTAGCAATGCCCAATGACAGCGACGACAATGACAATAACGAACAAACAAACAGCAACAGAAACGACAACAAAACAAATCATGTACTACTATACTTTACTCTGCACCAGGCATGCTCTCCACCTCTTCACTCAGCGCCCGCCAATTATCCGCCTGAAGCTCCGCGTACTTGACACGTTCTTGCGCCCACTCTTGGTGCAGACGACTAATGTGGTACTGAGATTTCTGGAAGAAGAGGAGCTCGTCGCGGATGCATTCGCGGATGAAGACGCCGCGCGCGTGTTGCTGGACAATGGATTCCTTGTCCTGGTGTCGTGTTAGAACCATGTACGTGTGTCAAACTACACTAATAAAAAGACTGACCTTGAAAATAGCTTCTTCAACCTTCTCCGCCTCGCCGGGCTTGGCGTCGGGCTTGTTGCGGATATTGCTGAGTTTGGTCTCGTTGTTTGCAATTCTCCTTTCCAGGTGGGGAATGTTGTCTTTGGCATACTTGTCTCGTCGATCAAACATGTCTCGCACACTAACAAGTGTGTCTCTTTGGCGCTTAAGATCTTCCAGCACGCCTTCTTCCCAGCCTCTTGCTTCGTCGTCGAGCAATTGCTTGCTCGAGTCGAGATGGCGGGCGGTAGCAAGTAGCCCTTCGTTTAGTAGTGGGACATCGTTTGTATCAGCAGCATATGTATCCTGGGTTGATTCGGTAAGGCCGCTGAGAGCAGAGGAAAAGCGCAGATATTCAGCTGCCATGCCTTCGTTTCGGCGACAGAGGCGCTCCATCATGCTGCAGAGGGTAATGTAGGTTTCGGCACTGCGTCGTACACCTGACCGGACCGTGTCGAAGAGCTCGGGGAGAGTCTTGGGCAGGGAATCTTCAAGGTCAGGAGGAAGGGGCTTGCCGGTAAACTCTTCCTGTACCGAAAGGTTTGCTTGCTTACGCCATACTGCGAGTTCCTATTTCTGTCAGTACAGACTATGCATATTTTACGAGTAGGCATACCGTTGGCACAGTGAGGAACATGACGACCAATTGCTCCTGGCTGAGCACTGGATGCCGCACGAGGGCATTTGTGAATCGTGCCAGGCCCTTTCTTCGCTTCTCGAGAAACGTAGCATCCGCGGCTATTGGGTTGCCGTTGACTAAGAACTCTCAATACTCATCAAGGCCATGTTGTGGGGGAGACTTACTTCCAACTCTCTTTGGGGGCAACAGTGGCAGTTGTCGGAACGGGTAGCGCTTGTGCAAGCAGTCGAGCAGCCAGACGAAATCGCTGTACCGGCGGACGACCTTTGTTGTGCGTCTCGAGCTGGCGACTTCGTAGTTGCGGTGCTGGAACATGAAGACACCCTCTTTCTCCGAGAGGGCCGTGATGGTGATGACCTCGTCGTTTCCCGTTGCACCGGGCAATCGCCCAATCGACGTGCCCATTTCCGGGGGGGCATTGGAGCCACCGCCGGCTCGACGTGCTGGAGCGCCGAAGCCCCCTTCTCCTAGACTGGGAGGGGCGAATGACTGGTTTGCGCCGCCATTGTAGCCGCCCCAACCGCCTTCGCTACCCAACGAGCTGGGCTGCACGGGCTGCTGACTTGACGAGTCGGCCGTCGAGTGTGTGGTGAACTGGCTGGTTGTGCGAGTGGCGACGTGAAGGCTGGAGCCGTTGGTCTGGTGCTGCGGACTGGGATAGTTGTTGGCGGCGGCGGCGGCGTGACTGTGGCCGCGGTGGAGGTCGGGGCTGCCCCAGGGATCGGCCTCGGGGTCTCCAAACGACTGCTTGCGCATGGGCGCGCTGGGCTTGGGTGCAGCGTTGGGGTAGTGCTGCGTGTGTGTGTGCGTGTGCTGGGGCGGCGGGCGTTGGGGGGGAGGCGTGGGCGGAGGGGGGTCGTGGGGATGCTGGGGAGCAGGCACAGGCACCGGGTCGCGGGCCTTTGGCGACTGCGACGGGGGCAGCGACACGGTGGGGACGGGGAGATCTGGTGGCAGGCGGTCAGTAGGCGGGCGCGCATCGTCCAGGGCTGCCTGTCTCGCCGTGGCTAGCTACTCACTCGGCTTGCGCTCGTCGACGCTGTCCAGCGTGATGTCTTCGTGCTCCTGGGCCAGGCCAATCAAGGCAAAGACAACATTGAACTCGTTCCTGCCCACCTCGGCGGCGCCGCCCGCGGGCAGCACCACGTCGAGGATCTTTGCCTGGGCGTGGGCGGCGATGTTGCTGTCGGCCAGCAGCTGCTTGACGCCGTCGATGCTGACGCCATTGCCGTGGCCGTGGCCCGCGTCGAGCAGGGCGTCGAAGGCGTCAATGTACGAGTCGGGCACGTCGCCGGCGGGGAGCAGCGACTTGACGAGCGCTTCGCGGCCGGCCTTTTTGGGCGTGGGAAAGGCCCATGGCGAGTCGTCGTCGCCCACGTCGTCTGCGAACAAGCTGTTGCCCGCCCTGCCCGCCGCCTTGGCATCGTCGGCGAAGAGCGACGACGATTGCTTTGCGCGCTGCGGCGAGTCGTCGTCGCCGAAGAGCGACATGGTGCTGGTGGTGGTGGTGCTGCTGCTGTGGGCCTGGGCGAGGAGCGCAGGCGATTCTCTACCGTCAGGCTGCGCGCGCGCGGTGGGGGGGAGATGAATGGGCGGTGGGGGGGGGGCTGCGGCGGCACGATCGCACTGCTTGACAAGACGTGTGCGTGTGCGAGTGTGCGTGCCCACGCGCGATGATAACATGGAGGAGCTATGATGCGGCGGTGCAAGGAACCCGCCCAAGCTCGCCCATTACCCAAGCCACCGCCGCCGCCGCCCGCCCGCCTTATCTCTGGCCCGCCTCACGTGCGCCAATAGCTCAACATCAACCCGGAACCATGTTTGGAGCATATATCCTGTTTCGCTGCCTATCCACCACGTCCTGCTACTACTGCTACTACTACTACTGCTACTGCTACTGCTACTGCTACACATACATGCTTGGCCATACGTGCGCCGTTCCTCCCAAAAACAAAACAAAAAAACAAAACAAAAAGCCTGACCTTGCAAGGCCGGCGGGTATCCAGTTCCCCTGTAACAAACACCAGAGATTCCTTTTTTTGATCAAAGTGCCAACTGCGCCGTTCCATGCTAATCCCAGGGCGCCTGCATGGCTGCCCACAGTCCCCAAGGTCCTGCCACTAATGCGCCGGTCAATATCGAGGGGTATATACGTGCTAGCCATCAACATGAAAAATATAATCACAAACATGCAAGAGAACATCAAAGCCTGAAGCGCTACCGGTCGTGGTCCGTCCGTGTCTGCTGCGGAGACGTGCTAAAGTCCACAGTCGACGTCGTCTCGTCTGCGGGTGGCGGCGACGACGAGGCTGCAAGCGGCGACCGTCGCATCTCCGTGCCGAGTATGCTGCCACCGTTTTGCTGCTGCTCCGGCGACACTGCAGGCGAGTAGCGGATGCGCGGCTTCTGCTGCGGCTGGGGCGTGGCCGACGGGTGCACTACTTCGCTCCAATCAGTCGTCCGGCCAGAGCCCAACGGCGACGACCGTGACACTTGGTCTCCCGACACCGTCGTCGCTGCCCGCCCGGCCTGCAACGCATATGCTTCTTCTTGCAGCGCTTCTTCTTGCTGCTGGCGAATAATGTCTGGAGACCACGTCTGTCCGCGAGGCTGGGCCGGAATAATCGTCACCGGCAGTGCCGCCTCAACCTGTGCGCTCGTCTTCTTCTTGGACCGTAGCCTCTCGCTTTGCTGCGCTGCAAAGGTGCCCAGGCGATCGCCCAGGGCCAGCCCGTTGTAGGTGCGAGGCGGTATGTTGGCAGCAACATCCTCCACGCCCAGCGGCTCAATCACCTGTCCTCTCTGCAGCTCTCGCGGCGGCGTGCGTCCTTTTCGGCGGAACGTGTTGCCTAGTGCTTGCCACTGCCATTTGCTTCGGCTCGTGACGCCCTCCACTTCGGCGCCTTTTTCGGGATCCTCGGGGTAGCTGGGTTGACGGTGCGACTCTTGCGGTAGTGTCTGTGCTTCTGGCTGTGATTGCGCCTCGCGCGTTTCTGGCTGCACATGGGTAGGTGCGCCGGGTTGGGGAATTGGTGGGGTTTCGCTGATCGGATGATAGCGTACTGTGTACACTGTCGAGTCGGCGCTAGTCGTGTCTGTCCGGCTCACAGGCGATGCGATGACAGGTACGGGAGGTGGCGTCTGCACGCGAATGTACGAGCGCGAGCTGCGGTCACCGCGTGTCGCCGATGCCGACCGCCGCACAGCCTGAGGCGGGGCGGGAATGTGAATAGTACGCTTCTTGCGTGCTTCTGCTCGTGCCGAATCGGCCGGCTTTCGCCCCATTCGCTGGGCGAGACTGCTGAGCCGCGCGGCATGGGCTGAGGCGAACACACTGATGCCACCTCCTCCGTCTCCGCCACGGCTGTTGTGTTTTTCGTTGTCTGATTGTTGGCCTTTCAGTTTCGAAGGCCAGCTGGAACTGGATGTGCAGCTGTCCAGCATGTCGTCTCCATCGTAAATTTCCCTCCCCAAAATTCCATCTTTTCTCTCCTCTCTTTCCAAAGCCTCAATTCGCTCCACCCACTCCCAAACAATAACACTTGCAGCGGCGGCGCCCACCCAGCGGAAGTAGTCTCCCCATCCGGCAATGGTGTAGTTTGCAATATCCGTAATGAAGAAGACGACGGGGGTCAGGATGGCGACAATGGACAGCAGGGAGATGACACTCATGTTCCACATCATCGAGTGGTAAAAGGCATAGCGTCGCTTGGTAATGGCGTAGTACATGACCCAGGCGGCATAGAGCATGCTGAGTGACAGCTGAAACAGGTAACTTAGGGCGGGGATGGCGGTGTCGAAATGTGCGGGGCGACGTGAATTCTCGTAGGGACCGAAACTGTTGAGGCAGCTGAATAGTATGTCGAGTAGAATGAGGGCGAATCCGACCCATTTGATAATAACTTTTTCTTTGTGACGCGGAAACAGACGTATGAGCGTCTGCACTTGGGCGAGCCACAGGAAGATGTCGGATACGACGCGCGAAACCTTGATCTCCATGCCGGCAACGACCTCGTCGCGAAGTTCCATGGCGTCGATGAAACCCTCCTCATACTGTCTCTTGGCAATCCTGAAGGTGTCTGCGGTGGCGAGGGTGAGCGATATGGCGACGGTCAGGGCGGCAACCTTTTGCAGCCATGGGCGGGTGCCCACGCCGATGATGGAACCGCCTCCGGAAGCGCCGCTGATCATGCCGCGGCGGCCCATGAGGCCTGAGCGGCCCGAGGCGTTGCCAACGAAGAAGGTGCGTGGTGTGATGATGAGCATGATGACGAGCATCCACGAGATGACGGTCGCGGCGCCCGTCGCGTAGGCCTGGGGCGTGATGGAGGCGTGGAAGGGGTCCCGCATGTCGGCGACGCTCGTGACGCCGCCGGAGCCGTCGTCGGCATTGGTGGGATTGCCGGCTGAGTCGGTGCATAGTGGGCGGAAGACGGCGCTCGCGTCGAGGGTGATGTGGTTGCCGGGCGAGATTTCAATGGTTCCGTGGGCTGGGAGCTTGTACGAGGGACAGTGCTGCGGGCGGGCGTCAGTCGCGTGGGCGAGGAGGCAGCAGAGAGGGGCGCCGCGGGCAGCAGCGCAGCGGGCGGGCGAGGCGACTTACGTAGGGTATCGTGGCATCGGGCGCGCGCCTGTCCAGCAGCGGAGAGGCGCCAGGCCAGGCGTCGGCCTCCCACATGCTCGGTCGGGGGGGGGCTATACTGGTCCAGCAGCAGTTGGCGACGGGTTGGGGCGTCCCATGGGTGCTCACAGGAGCGGCATGGCCTGGGAAAGGAGGCGCGGCGGTCGTGTGAGATGGTGCGAGTCGACGGCGGTGATGGCGGGGGTGCGGTGGTGGTGGTGGTGGTGGTGGGAGGTTGGCGGGTGCTGAGGGCGAGCGAGGGTTCGGGAGTCGAGCGTCGCGGTTAAGCGTCGAGGCCAAGTGGGAGTGGGCTGGGCGAAGCTTGAGGGACATGGCCGGCTCCCTGGTGGCACCTGCCGTTCCAGCTTGTCTCAGCTTGGCCGTGATTGGCCCCGTCGGCGCAGGGTTCGGCCGGCCCACCGCAGGCAGCGAGCCTCATCCCAGCATCCCAGCCCCAAAACGTCGCACGACCTGGCCACGCTCTGCGCTCTGCCTCCACCTCCTCCACATCCACCACCACTTCCGCCGCCTCCACCACTTCCACCACTTCCGCCGCCATCCACCCCCTCGGCGCCGGCCTCGCCATCCATCGCCGCTCCGCGCGCTCTGCTCGCAGCTCGTGCTCGCCCCCAGCCTCGACCATATGCTAACAGCTAATGCCCCGTGCCATGCCATGCATGCCCTGTCCCAGCGGCCTCCCTTCCTTCCTTCCTCCCTCCCTACCTCCCTCCTTGGCTTGGATCGACACCCATCGGACAGAGTCGGGCCGCCTCTCGCTCCCTGGACTCCCTAATGTGCCGGTCGCACGCAGCCCTCGAAAAAACCTGAGACGACTCGGATCCCACCAGCCGCCATCCATCCTGCGCCACGGCCACAGTGGCCACTTGCACTGCTGCTGCTGCTGCCCATGGACGCGCCACGCCAGCGCTCTCGAATGCGCCTAATAACAGGTTTTGGCGATGCATATTGCGTGATTCGCTTGAGACGCATCACACATTGTCCTGATGCGGAAGCGACCCCCCTCCCCCTTCCCCGTCACGCCCGCACACGTCCAAACTCTCCAGCCCTGCGGCTACATTGACTCCTGTACAGGGCCAACGTGACAGCTTCAACCTGCCTATTTAATACACAAGCACAAGTCACCTCTTGTTTGGACTTTGCACGCCAATCGCCCCGCCCGGACGTGCTCCCGTCAACCTTCTCCTCGCCAACGGCCGCCCGTCCACCCCCTCGACGCCACACCTCGACTCTTGACACACGCACGTGATCTGCGCCCATATCAGCTTTTCGACCCTCTCGGCGTCCGCCTTTTACTCTATACATCCGACAACGCTTGGATGCGCCCGCCTCTTGGCCATGGACGTCTAGAACTTTGCATCACACGCCGTGGTGACGCATACTGCCAATTCAGCACTGTAAACATGCACGCCCCCCTCTGATTGTGCCCGTAAGGCTGGGCCTGCCAGAGCCTAACGCCGGCGTTTCAGCTACCATGGATATGGCGACATGATCAGCAAACACCTGGAGCTTGCTGTCAACTCGTCTATCACGTCAGCTCTTACCGCCTCCAAGACTGAAGCTTCGCACAGCTAAGCACTAGAATCACACTAGCTTGCATTCTGCTTCAACTCCGGTGGGGCATGCACTATGTGTGAGTATTGCCGCATCATACTTTGGGTAGCAGATACATTGTCGCCCTAATCTACACGGACGACCCAACCATGCGGCCCTTCATGGCATCTCTCTCGGTCTTGCGGCCTGTTGTACTATTATCGAGCAACGCCAGCACTTGGTCAAGCCGCCATATCCTCTATGATTATGTCCAAGGCGAATAGAACAGGGTGTCTCTTACTAGGTGTAGTAATGCATACATCGACAAATTAGACAAGCTCCGACCACCGATCAGGTTCACATATGAAGCAAGGAAGTATTAAACCTCTACTTCTGACTATTTTGACCCACGCTTGTCCCTTTGAGGTTTGTTGCGGCTATTACCTACGCTGGCTGTGATTCGTTTCATCCGAATCTGCAGCTGCAGCTCTTTCCGCAGAGCGTATGTACAGCCGGCGTACGGCACTACGGGGAGATAGAGAGAGACAACCCGCACCTACACACTAGTGCTAGGTTCGAGACCCGCCGCACATTCACGCCGCTGCAGCGATCATGACGTGTCCCTTGCATCGGACCTACCCGTCCAGTCCAAACATTGTCCAATCCGGCAGTCCCACCCTCGTTGCACCATCTCCGATTTATTGACATACAATCCCGGTCAACGTCTCTCATCGGCTTGCACTATTTGAATGGGTGGGGCATCTTGTTAAAATACCGCTCCGAGTCTGCACCCCGGCTGCCGGAAACAAGTGAGCCGTCTGAATTGCGGGCATTATATGACAATGTCCGACCGGAAATAGTCCTTCACCCTTTTCTTAGACATGTCGCAGTCTTGGCAGACCCTATTGCTGTTGATCACGAGTGCTTGTTTCAACAAGACAGGGGGCTCATGTCTACTCAACTCCATTACGTCATGATGGACTCCTTGTCTCTTCAGCAACGTGTCCATTTCTCCGTCCATATCGCTGTTCGTCTCTCATCGCCGCCAGGCCAACGTCGGGCCTGAGGCCTGAAAGCTGCTCATCGATATCCTGAAACGGTGTAGTCACGTCCAACGTACCATCTCTCGTGATCGGGGTCGTGCCTCAAGTCTTATTTTTCTTAGTCGGGACCATCCGCCTTGGCTTGAAGGGTGTACCCGTGTGCAAAGACAACGGTTCCCACTTCGTTTGTAGCTTGTTCTCGAAAACATGCTGTGCCTTCTACCGCAACACATCGGCCATGGCATGAACGTATCGGGAGCCATGTTGCGTTTGGTGCGACAAGGGGATTTTTGATTCCAAATGGGATTTGTACAATAATGCTATTTTGGTTGCTAGTGGAATTGCAACTGTACAGTATGCGAAACGAGGTAAGGCGCGTTTGAATGATATAGTTGTAAGAATTGTATTAGAGAAGAAGCGTTTCACGAACCAAGTCAGGATACGACATATCTAATGTGCTGCAACACAGTAGACGTTGCAATAGCCAAGGCTGAAGTGATTGCACCAAAAAGCCAATATGAACCAAGGCTTGTCTCTATGCTGTCAAGTCGTCATGACGTCTGCGTCAATGACGCTGTTGCACGTGGTCGCGCGTCTCGCCAAAATCGCCAGACCCTGGCAATCCTTCTGTCTTCGCCCCACCGCCACCATAGCACAACGCCTCACACGCTTAATCCTTACTCAGGCCAATTGCTATCCATCTTTGAATAAGAAATAGTCACTAGTTTTCTCTAGAGGCGTTGCGAAGTTTGCCGACATTGCCGCGACATTTGCGCAACGCGCAGGCTCCACGCGACGGCGACGCGCAAACAGAATCTGCGGGTAATCAAGTAAGAGACGGGCAGGCGGTGAGGCAGACTCACCATGGCGCCTAAGAAAGCTCGCGATCGCAAACGGCAGACAAAAATCAATTTCTCACCTGCTTCACAACCTTTGCATGCGACCAAATCCTCTGCCGCTACCGCCGCCGCCACAGCTGGCTCACCGTCGAGACCTCCTCGAAAGCAATCAAAGCTAGACAAACGAGCGCTCAAAGTGGCATCGAAGGCGAAAGAGCAAGAATCAACCAGCGAAGATGAGTTGGCCATGGACACAGAGAGGAGCATGCACTTAGGCAAGCCCAGAGGCATGTTTAATGGCCCGGCAGACAACTCGACAGGTTCTATAAGCTCGGAAGAAGAGCAGGAAGTACAAACCCAACCCAAGTCACGCAAGCGACGGCGTGCGGTATCACCAATGGAATCTGAAGAAGGACCGACAGTTGAAGTCGTGCCGCGCAAACGGCAGCGACGAGCTGTTCTGGTGGAGATTGAAAGCCAAGACGAATCGCAAACGAAGGAAGAAAAGAAGAGGAAGAGGAAGGATAAGAAGGACAAAAGGGACAAGAAACGGCGCAAAGAAAAGGAAAGCACCCCAGAGCCCGTGGTCTACAGCACTCGGCGACGGCCTGCGAAGAAAGCTTCTACACCAGACGATGACGATGGCGATGATGATGACCTTCGTCGGCCAAACACAAACTCCAAGCAGAAGGCGACACAGGAGCGCTCTCCATCCGTCGAAGAAGACCAAAGTCCACCTCGAAGTGCAAGGCGGAAACTCAAGAGGCGGAGGCCTGCATCTGATGATGACGATGAAGATGAGGCTCAAACTACGCCCAAACCAAAAAAAACCGCGGCCAGGGAAAGCTCTGCATCAGATGCTGCTGATTCAGAAAGTGGTGGAAATGAAAATGCCAACGATGAAGAGCAAGAAGACCTTGAGGAGGATCTTGCATTCCTGCGGTCGTCTCCAGTCGCAGACCGTGGCAGGCTAAGGAGTACCCACGACAAACCAAAGAATAAGCGGCAAGAAGCTCTTGAAGCTTTAAAAAGGCGGCGCGCTGGCACAAGTGAACCGTCGTCGGCGACACCTGGACGGCGAAGAGCGGTCGTAGTAGACAGTGATTCTGAATCAGACCTTGAGATTATCAAGGAGGAGCAGGACAGTAACCTGGACGAGGACGAGGATGAGGAAGAACCAGATCGTGACGCCAATGCATTTGACATGTTTCAAGAAGATCAGGAGGACGAGCAGTTCATTGACGACGACATGGAAAACGCCATTGGAGAGCCCTCGGCAAACGACGACTTGGACGAAATCCGGTTAGGTTTTAGCATCTTACGAGCAAAGACTAAGGATCTCTTCAGACACGCCGTCGAGTGGATGGTGATGAAGAAGATTCACCCAGGTTTCGAGTCGACCAAACACGTGTACACGTTGACTTTTCGCAAGTTAGACGACGAAGTCAAGGGCCTGGCAGGATCAAAGTACACGTCGGCAGCCTGGACCACTGACTTTACACGAGCCATTCGCGCGCGACCCGATCTCATAGTCAACGACCTCAGCGCAGCAGAAAGAGACGTCATATCACCACACTGCGAAGCATGTAACCGCACCAACCACACAGCAAGCTCAGAGCTTCTCCTCCAAGGACAACCCTACAATCCAGACACGCTCGAACCCGTCGCCAGCGACTCAGACAGCGACTCGGGTTCAGACAGCGACTCGTCAGGCCTCTCGTCTGACTCGGAAGCCCTGCTTAACGGCGAAAAGCCGACCTATAACTTCCAACGCGAGCGTATCCCCCCAGAGTCTCACCGCTTCCCCGTCGGGTCGACCTGCAAAGCAAACGCCCAGGTCGCACATACCTTGTACCACTGGCGGTACCATCTCTACCAGTGGGTCAAGGACTACCTCAAGGCCGAGGGGCACCTGACGCCCGAAAAAATAGTCAAGAGGGACGCGTGGAGCGACCGGAAAAGGGAAAAGACTGCCCACAAGATTGTGGATGCCATGGAGGCAAAGGGCCAGATTCGCGAGCTGTGGCATTCGTACAAAAATCAGGTCACCGCGGCTGTTGAGGCGGATAACGAGTATCGCAATGGATGGGGTAGGTATCGTTGATACAGTGGGGGAGAGGGGGGGGGCTTGGTGCTGTTTGGGTTGCGTTTGAGGAGTGAGGTTTAAGGTTTGGACCCAGTGTTTCTTCTTGACAGAATGTCAAAAAAAAGTTAAGAGTTTCTTCGGTAACTTTGGATACTTGGATATTGTGTATATTGATTGGTTTGCATTCTTTGTTTGGAGCTTCGTCGGAACAAGCCGGGTAGGCTGGGTGCACGAAGGGATTTCCTACTGCATGCGTGGAATGCAGGAGGGAAATGCAACATATTGATTCATGAGTTCAGGGTATCATGCTTTTACATCGTTTCGTTGACGCGTCCTCGTCCTCATAGCATCTCATCCACTTCCTCGGCTGGCGCTGGCGCTGGCACCGGCTGCACCGCAACATCTGCCTTCTTGCCCTCCCCATCATCATCATCCATCTCCTCGTCGCCTCCCCACTCCCTCTCCTTCCTGCCCACCTCCACCTCCTCCAGCACACCCGCCTTCCTACTCTTCTTCAACCCCTCGCCATTAATATCCTCCCAGCCCTTAGACCTCTCCACCACCTTGCGCCCTTTGCCCAGGCTCTTCAACCGCTTGTTCGCCAGCTTATCCATGTTCTCTTCGGCGCGCTCCAGGCCCTTTTGGTGCCGCAGCCGCTGAGCGCGCGTCATATTCGCGCCCTTTTTCTGCTTCTTCTGGATGCCGGCGTCCTTGGCGGCGAGCGCATGTGGGTTTATCGACGAGGGTCGTGACGGCGACGCCGAGTCCCGCGTTGTTCTTGTTGTGCGCGCTGTCGCTGTTTTTTCGCTTTTGCTCAGGTCCAGCGTTGGGGAGGCGGCGCGGCGTGCGGCGCGCGAGTGCTGTGTGACTTCTATTTTGGCATTGTTTAGCAATTGCTGTGTGTGTGAATGGAGGGGAATGCGGGAGAGTGGGCTTTCTTACGGCGCTTCTTGACTTTTGCCGTCTTCGCCATTGTGTGTTTGAAGTACACACACTCTTTTTTTGGTAGTGTTGAATTGAAAGGACGCAAGCAAGGAGCCTTTGCTTTCTTTTCTTTTTGTCTTCTCCCAAGGCGCGTGGTGTGGCTTTGGGTGGTTAGTGAAAGAGAATGCTTTGAGCTCTATTCAAAGGCCCAAATTGCTTAGATGTGGTGAAAGCAGCATTTCTCTCGCAACCGTCCAACAAAAGTTCACCCACTAGCTCGTCAAGGCCCAAGGCCGCGGGTCCACTTCGGCCGCTAGTTGTGTGCCCGCCGCACCTTCTCCGATGACCCTCGATAATCGCCGGCTCCGTTAGCCCTTGCCCTTAGAACACTCACGCCCTACTTCTGCCACCCACCGCCCGCCGCCGTCCATCCCCCCCCCCTCCGACCGTCGTCGCGCACGCCCGGCCAACCCCCCATGTCGCAGACAAACACACCACGGCGTTTGCTCTGTTCGACTTCGTCTATGCGCTGGCCCGAGGGTTGAAAGAACTCGCCATCTGACACTTGCGCCTTCACGCGGATTTATCATCATTCACGAACCTTCGCTCGACTCACTCCCCAGCTGCGTATCGCACTGTCGCGGTGACCCGGACGTTTCAGCTTTTTATTTTTTACAAACCCCCCGACGAGCAATGAGCTACGGCGAATACCCCGAACTTGACGCCTTCCAACAGCGCTGGACCACAACAACAGACTCACATCAAACCACGACTTCCGTTTTCCTGGCCGCCATCGTCGGTGCATACGTCCTGTTCAAGTCTCTGGATTATCTCGGCTTTCCCGTTGGATTTTACCTACGCCGGTTTCTCAGGATGGCGACGAGTGTCTTGCGCTCACGCGGCTCGTCTTTCGGTTCCGCGTCCGGATCGGAAGCGACTGACGACGGGGCGACGCAGAATGGAGGCATGTTTGGAAGCCTCTTTGGCATGAGCCCTGGGAATCTGCTGCAGAAAGGCGTGCGAGGCGTTGCGAGCGCTCTCTCCATAGGACCCAGCGACGTGCCACCCGGTCTGGGCAACATCAGCAACTCCTGCTACCAGAACAGCGTTATCCAAGGTCTCGCCTCCCTTCCGGCACTGCGCGACCATCTTGCCAAAACCACATCCGAACACTCCTCGCTTTCTCCCGAAAGTACAAATGGCGCGTTATTCGAGATTATCACAAAGCTAAACGACCCTGAGAATAAGGGGCAACACTTCTGGATCCGAGGCAAGCTGAAGTCGATGAGCACGTTTGAGCAGCAGGATGCACAGGAGTATTATAGCAAGATACTGGATGCGCTGGATGAAGAGGTCAAGAAGACTGCGAGCAGTAAGAGGCGATCCTCAGTCTCCTGGCTGGAAGTTACAAAGAGCCTTAGCGACTTACCAAACGCAGATGAAAAAGCGCAAGAAGGCTCAAAAGATGGCAAGGAGAAATCGGAGACGCAAGCCGCACAAGTCCCACCGAACCCTCTTGAAGGCCGCCTCGCCCAGCGCGTTGGCTGCACATCCTGCGGATACTCGGAAGGCCTTACACTTATCCCCTTCAACTGCATCACCGTCTCGTTAGGAAAGAACCACGGATACGACATACGAGAATGTCTTGACGAGTACACGACCTTGGAGTTCATTGACGGTGTCGAGTGCGCAAAGTGCACACTGCTGAAGCTGCAGAGGGCTCTCGCCCCCTTGGTTGCCCATAAGCCGGAATCGCCATTGAAGGCCAGACTTGACGCTGTGAATGAGGCTTTGGAAAAGGAGGATTTCGAGGATAAGACACTACTGAAGACTCTGAATGTGCCCAAGAAGAACTGGGTGCAGAGCACCAAATCCAAGCAGGCAGTGGTGGCGCGCGCACCCCAGTCATTGGTGCTTCATGTCAACCGCAGCAGCTTCAACGAGTACACTGGTATGCCGTTCAAGAATACGGCGGGTGTATCGTATCCTAGCGTACTGGACCTAGGGAATTGGTGTCTAGGCGGTGCACCGGCTGGATCCGAAAAGCCTGCCGCGCCTGAAGAAGAGTGGCCAAGAGACCCCAGGGAGTCCATGCTGACGAGGAGTGAGCCAGTATCCGACTCGCCCTTCCGGTATCGCTTACGAGCCGCTGTCACACACTACGGTTCGCATGGTAATGGCCATTATGTGTGTTATCGGTCGCATCCAAGGGTTGCCAAAAGTGAAGCGGTGGATGTTTCATCGACAGAGGACAATGGCGAAGAAAGTCCAGAACAACAACCGCATGAAGACGCTCCCGTTTCCCCGTCAGAACAGTGGTGGCGCTTCAGCGATGACAGTGTTTACCCTGTTTCTGAAGAAGAGGCGCACCAGGGCAATGTCTTTATGCTTTTCTACGAGCGAGTAGATGCGTCGTCGCCCCCTGGATCTGCAACGGAGAACCCCATGATAGCAGAGGACGCTCCCCTACCACCGGTCAATGCAGCCGCGTACGCACAGACAGGCGTAGACGAAGAAGCCATTACCATTGCTCTACCAAGCGACGACGACGACGACGACCTCATCCCTGCTGAATCAACCCCTAAACCACAACCACCTCAACTTGCGGTATCGCCAACCAAGGAGCAATCAGCAGAAGAAACTGCCGACTCCTCATCCACAATCACCACGACGCCCACACAGCCATCACCACGCTCACTCGCCGACCCCGAAACAGAAGCCAGCGATGCTGAATCAGAAGACGCCCCCTCCACACAGCTCACCTCGGACTACGAATCAGAAGCCGATCCCCCCACACCCTTAAAATCAATGCCCGTCTCCAAGGTCTCGCCAAACACCATGCGCACCGCCGGCAACGCCTCGTCCAGAGGCCAGCGCAAGAGACAGAGCCTCCCGCTGGTGTCTGCGACGTAGTTTGTTCGTGGCGTCAAGCGCATCAGATTCGAGTTTACAGTCTAGACGGCGTTCAAGTATTATATGTCTCTTGGGCTATGCTTGGCATGCTATTTTTCTTTTCCAAGTGTTTGAAGGGGAGGGGGAGGAGCTTCTTTCTCATGAGTCGAGAAAGTGGACGAGGAGGAGAAGGAGAAGGTGGCCGGCGTTGTAATCACCTGTTTGCCCTACAGGGTCAGGTTAGGCGTTTAAACTGGTTTTTGGTTCTTTCTTTCTCTCTTTCTCTCTCTCTCTCTTTCTCTTCTTTTTTCTTCGGGCTATGCTGATGCGTTGCTGGTGTTACAGCTTTGCCAAAGAAAAAAAAATACGAAATGAAATGTGTGTGTCTGTGTGTTTTTGACATGCCAATCTGTGTGTTTCCCAAGGGTCTTTGTGTTGATTATGAGTATGATTGTGGTGTGATGATATTTCTGTTTGTGTTTTGAATACATAATAATGCTATCTATCTATTTCATATATCTATCTACATACATACATATAGTTATAAACTGTTGGCTGCTTAGTCAATCATCTCTTGGTACATATAAATGTTTCTGGTAACTCTCGCTGCACATGAGCCCGTCCAAAAAGAGAGAGAGAGAGAGAGAGAGAGAGATGATAAACCCACCAACCCAACCCCAATGCCAATGCCAATGTCCGCCCATCGTTCAAGCGTCAAAGAATACTTGACCAACTCATTCACCCCATAACAACATCATCCTCATACTCAAACTCGCCATCAATCTCCGAGCCCACCAAGCTAACCGCATCGTCCTCATCAATCCTTTCCTCACACTTCCAGCCTAAACCCGCCCAGTCGCTCCCCGCAGTACTCATGACAGCGTCGAAGTCCACGTCAGCGTCGAACCACTTCTCTCTTCGCTTCGCCTCTCTAACCCCGCCTTCAAGCGCAACGCGACTCGCCCTCGTTGTGCGCGCTTTCCTAGCGCCAAAGCCGCTTCCGCCATGCGCGTCCGCCATGCGCGCACGCTGCTGCTCGAGCGTCTGCTCGTGCGCCACGATGCTGCGGACGTAGGGCGCAAGGTCCAGCGTAACAAGGCTGAAAGAACGATCAAACGACGAGGGCGTAAGCGTGTACGACGTGCGTTCCGACAGGAACTGGTCGGGCGGCGCGGCGAGACAATCAAGCGCAGCTGCGAAGTCGGTGCGGGTAAGCGCTGTTTTCGTCTTCTTGGTCTCGCGGCATTGCAGGATGTGCTTCGCGTAGCTGCTTTCGCACGTGGGTGCTGCTGCGCGTGCGGAGCATGTCTGCGAGATGGCTGGGTATGCGCGGTGGATGAGCAGGTGTGTCTGCGTGGTGAATGCTGTGTCGAGGTTGAAGAAGTCTGCACAGTGGTCGATTTGCATGAGTGGCGCCGAGAGCGTGTAGCTTAACCGCGATTTCTCGGGCATGGGAGGCTGCGAGGCGTCGGTGGGTTGCTCGTGATCTGTGCTATATGAAGGTAGGTCGATGCGGCAGAAAATGTCGGCTGCGCTGAACGACTCGGTGTAGGCTGTTAGACGGTCCAGCTCTTGCATGCGGCGAGACGGCTCCGTACTCTGCGTATGGAGTGATTGTTGTGCGTTCGTGGCTGGAGCTCGCCATTCAGAGGGGCTGATACCCCAATCAGCCCAGACTTGGTGCAAGAGTTCTTCTTCCTTGTCAAAGGCAGCGTTGTCTTGGGTTTCAAAGACGTTGTGCGAGAGCCAGCCCATGCCGGATTGATACGTGCCCTCGCTGGCCACTCGCAATGTCTGGCTGTGCTCATCGACGTCCTTGCCTGGCGGCCAGCGTTGATACATCCATTCCAGACCGCCTTTTCGGTCTCCAACAGACATCTGGCACCAAAAGTCCAGCTCCATGATGCTGGCTCGGAGATCATGATCTTTGGATTGGTATAGCTCTTTTACAGCTTGTCGCTCCAGAACGTGGCCTTCTGTTCCAGCTAGAACAAGCAGATAGTCAGTGGCAAGTTCCACAGGAGGAGGCTGGAATCTCAGCACGGCAGCGAGCGGCAAGTCGTGCATTGGGACTTGTCGCTCATCGTTGCAAGTAATGACTATGGGCCGTTTCGAGAGAGATGCCATCTTAGTGATCTGCGCCCAGAACTGCTGGTCTTCTTCGAACAGAATATCCGCCTCTTCGATGAGAATTAAAGATTGTTTTTGCGAGGCGCGCGATGCTTGGGCGAGCGGAAGCGTTGCTTGAGCTGATGATGGTGTTGCCTTGGTTGGCTGAAGCCGTGGTTGTGCCTTTGGTTTTGCCATTACCGCCCCGGGTTTTGCTTGGAAGAAGGATGTCATAGTCCCTTGCCGGCCACTGCTCATGTCTTTGGTAAGAGCCGTATCTGCGTCTTTATCGTCTGCGTCTTCCGCGGATTGAACGATTTCCTGAATCGACGCTGCGTTGCGTTTATGGTTCACGAGGTGGTTCCCAGTCATGTCGCCCACTTTGTCTTGGATGTCCTTCCCCGAGCGACGCATTCCGGCGTGTATCTCGAAGACTTCAAAGTTCATCTCTTTGGCTACAGCGTGAACGGTCGCACTCTTACCACAGCCATGGGGCCCACTAATGAGTACGACATTTTTGTCACGCGTCCACTGTGGCCGTCTAAAAGAACCTGGTTCCATGGAGTTTCTCCCATCTGCTTCGGACAGACTCAGCATGTCTTCCTCTTCGTCTTCATCGTCTGGAACAATGAAATCATCAACAGCCTTCTTGCGTTTCTTCCGTGGTGGCTGTTTCGCATCTACTGTAGCAGAGATCTTCGACGCGCCACTCACAGCCATAACTGTTAGACTCTCCAACCAATCTTTTAGTACCACTGCATCTGTACCAGTCTGTAGCACATGGGCGGCAGAATTTGGAGCATATTTTTGAGCCCAGGATTGAGTCTCGCACTTTCCCTCATCAAATGGAGTAAGGGTGTACTCGATCTGCTTGAGAAGACCCTCAACGGCTGCATGGAATGGTCGCTGTCGCTCGGCGGTACCTGAAGACGGTGACCTAGCCAGTAGCTGTTGATGCACTCTACGCTTTACCTCAGGGCCGGTGGTGAGTAGACGTGTTGGTAGACGGACATCTTCGGGAGGTGCGAAATCGGACATTTGCTCGTTTCGCGCGCATCGGTTATGTGAGAGGTCCTGCGCCAGCCTCGTGATTATGCACTCTTTTTCTGATAGGGTGACGACATTGCTCTTTAGTTTCCGTGGCCTTAATGCTAGTTGCACACCAGAGGAGTTGTCCAAGCGCCGGGGTAAACCTGTCTCCAGGTTACGAACATGCGCATTTTCGCCTGTTGGCCACGAGGCTTCGTTGAGGCCAGAATGTTTGCCTGCTTTGCTGGTCTGTAATCCTCTGCTATAAAATGTCGTCGCCTCTGGTGACTGGTCTCTCCTTGTCTCAGCACGCAACTTTCCTGGGGTGACAGCGCTCTTCCTGGGGGTTGCGGCGGGCAGATCCGTGACCACTTTAACCGGAGGAGCATCTTTCTGGGACTTTCCAAGAAAAAAGGGATGAGTGACTTTGGGCGGCGCAGCTGGTTTCGGCGCGGTGTTCCTTTGAGTTGTTTGGCGTTTGGTTGTCGTTCTTTTCGAGTTCAGAATTTCTTCTATCTTTTTACCGATGGCCGATCGGCTCGCTGCATCTGTTCCATATTTTATGACGGTCACAGTGGGAAGAACTTTGGCTTTAGTGGGCTTCCGGCCTCGTCTCTTCTTTGGAGAAGTTGGCTCTGCGATTGGCTTGGGTGGGCTAGAAACCAGTCTGCCGCTCTTGGTGACTTTGATTTGCTTCTTTGGTGTTGTCTCTTTTGTATCTTTCGGCGCGGCTTCAGATGCAACAGCCACAGGCTCCGGACCGGCGACTGGTAATGGCGTACTAGGTGTGGTAGATGTGTTTGAGTGCTCCATGCGGTCACATCCAGGCTCTTCAGAAATATCTGTCATGGCCACATCGGTGTGCAAGAGAGCGTTCGGTGTCGGATCCAGGCCCGCCGGTCCGGCAGCCTGTACTTGTAGTTGCTGGTGCCAGTCCAAAGAAATGGGTTCGGGTTGGACAGGCTCGACTTGTGCAGAGGGGGGAGGGCTGTCTGAAAGTTCTGGCGATGCAGTCTTTTGTCTTTTTCTTCGGTCGTGATTGGGATCTACCTCCAAAGCGACGTCGGCAGACCCGCTGGTGTTGTTCGCAGTCGTCTCACTCGTTGCTTGTGCGGAGGGAGGTCGGGTGAATCGGTCCAAAGACGCCTGGTTCTTCATGTGGGATACAAGGCTCCTCTCCTTGACGCCATCGCTCTTTGTGGTCCTCTTCTTGCGTCCTTTACCAGACTTGAAGTTTGTATCTGCGCCTTCGGCTCCGCCGTGGCCATTGTTTGTCGGGGCATCGTCGTTGGTTTGCAGGGGCTCTGGGGCCTGACCACCTACACATGGTATCAGTACTCGAGCATCCAAAAGCGGGTAGCGACATACTGGAAGGCTTGGAAAAGAATGGATGTACGCTCTTGCCCTCTAGATTCATTGCAGATTGCACTGCTGTGAGGGCCATCTAACACGTTCAAGGGCTACCGGGGCATTCGTGACATGGAGGCAGATTCGACCAAGAACAGGTATTAACAGAATATCAATTGCGCACGTAATCGTCGTAAAGTAAATGCATGCATTCGCGGTCGTAAACGACAACCCAAAGACACTTTTGGGACACGCGACGTGACGCGCTAGCGACGCCATTCAAGCCACAGTGTGTTCCCCCTGCTCGTGGCGGGCACTCGCCACAGTTACGCGCCAAGACTCTATGCGATCGTTACCGCCCATTTTCTGCCGGAGCTCCAACTTTTTTCTCGACAGGCATTCATCCACCAAACCAAAGCACGCGCTCTGCCCTACGGCTCACGCAGACCTCAGATACTCCGACTGCAAGGTCTGGCAAACAACATGTCGTCCGATCAACCCATTGGCGCCCCCTTCACTTTGGCGTCGCTGTCGAAGCCCGTGGGCTCTACCAATGGACGGGTGCACGCTGCTGGCGTTTGCAGCATTAGCGGCATCAAGAAGAGGAAGCGCACCGAAATCGCAGTCGGTGTGGATGGCGAAGGTGTATCCATCTATAGCGTATGTACCTCCCATTGCGACATGTGACACCCACTCACGTTTTCGCAGCTCCAGAATCCCCAACTTGTAACCTCGTATGCGCTGCCGCCGAGCGCAACTTTTACGACCGCCCCATACTCCATATACCGCAAGGGCCTCTCGAAAGCGCCGACGCATCGCTTCACATACGCCTCTCTTGCCGGCTCATCGCCTGCCGACAAGCCGCAACTCGTCTGTTTTCACGACAAGACAGCCGGAGACCACACCGAGACCACCAAGACGTTATATACGCCCTCTGGCCCTGCGCACATCTCCACCCTAGATGCCCTTCCGGTCGCAGCCGGTGGCTCTTCAAAAGATGCGACTCATGACGTGCTTGCGACTTTTGACAATGGGGATATCATATGCCTTTCCGCAGATCTAGACATGGTCCGATGGGTCGCAAACTTGACATCACTTGTGTCTGGTGGAGACTCCGAGGTTGAGATGGAACATGTTACACTCGCCAGCGCCAGGTCTGTCACTCGAGGACTGCTGCGAAGCCGACAAGATATTGCGACAATCTTGGACCCTACATCAGACACCACATCAGACTTCCTTGATCTTGTCCAGATCCTCTGCATTGTCGGCCGCAAAAAGAATGGTGCAAAATTCCTAGCTCTTTTGCAAATACAGCCAAGGTCTGCAGACCTTACGACAGCCCAGCTCTCGCCTGTCAAGCACTTGCTTGACTTGGACCTTCCCGCGCCCTCGAAGGTGTCCCTCCTCCAAGGCCCTTCTACACAGATTACTCTACATGCCTCCAGTGGCGCGCTTCACCTCATCTCAAAAGGAACATTACTTTCCTACGACCTTTCAGGGATCGTACCAAAGCTTTACTCCGAGTTTGTTCTCCCTGCGCCGGGTGTTGACGCGTTTTTGCGAACTGGACAGGATGTGCTCTTCACCACAGCGCAAAATGTCTGCAGGGTGTTTGACGTCAAATACAATTCCCTTCAAGCTTTGCAAGCAATAACCTCGAGTTCTTCTGCTTCGGAGTATACTAGTCCCTCGAAAAAGAGAAAGCACGCGCAACCAGAGAACAATGAACATGCAACGTCGCCTTGCAACTTGGTGGCATACTATGCTGATATTGGGCTGGTGGTAGCTATTCGAGAGGACGAGGTGTTTGGCATGCAGTTTGGAGGAGCAGCGCCTCGAAAGAAGGCCAAGACAGAAGGTACTCTGCTCATCGACGCCCTCGGCAAAGGCATTGCACTGGAGCGCAAGGCTGTTGCAGGACTTGACACTCAATCTTGGCAAGAGCGGAAGTGGAAGTTGAACAAATATGTTGCCAAGGGCAAGATTGCAAAGTTTGAGCAACTCTTTGCCGCAGACTTGGGCATCGAAGTTGAGACCGCTGATATGGTGCAAAAGCACAAGAATGAGGAGTCTGGCGGCCCATTGACGAACGGAGGCGGCCCAAGCCTTCCAGACAGCGACGCCATGGTGGTCGAGAAGCTTGATGACGAGCATGCCAAGGATGAATTGCCTCGATGGAAGATGACTCACGTCGTTCCTGGGCATCAGCGACAGCAATATCGTCAGTATGCACTGTACGCACTGGGAAGAATCTTTCATTGGGCAAATTCCGGCGAGCTTGAACAGGAAGCTCAAGGAGCCTTGAGAGTCGGCTTCTTTCCACCCAACGTCTTCCAGTGGCTTCTGCAGACTGGCCATCTTACCAAGGAGTCCATTCGCCGAGCATTGCTTGACGAAACAAATGGCCAGGTTCAGGCAGTACCGACTATCATGGATGGCGACATCGTCAAGGCTCTCGTTGACTACGACTCTGAATTGCATATCCTCTCGGCTGTGTTCAACCATGGCCAGTTCCTCCCGATTGGCGAAGTCGTTCAGGCTATCAAACTTCTCATTCAAAGCATAGATGATGAGCCGCAGCAAGACGAAACAACTAAGCTATTGACAAACGGTGTGGCTCCAGCAGAAGGTGACATGGACGTGGATTTCGCCTCGGAATTAGAGGCAGCGTCGTACGAAATTGACCATGCCTTGTCGGTTCTGGACCATGGTCTGCTGACGCGGAGTCACACGCTGCGACCTGCGCTTATCCGACTCGATACTTTTCCGGCTCCGGTCATCAGCTCGACACTTCGGTCCATGCTGCCACGGCGAGATCTCGAATCGCTCATTCGTCTTCTGCACCTTGAGTTGAAGAACGGTGGGTGGTCGTCACCCTTGGGTTTCGTCGATATGGAAAGTGCTGGGGCAGAGAATTCTGCGGAAGATCCGGACGACCATGCTGTTGCTATTATTGCTTCCCTGCTGTCGAGTACCCTTGATGCAATAGGGGCGGGGGCTTGGCTGGCTCCAGTCGGCACGAACTCGGCATCGGAGACTGGGCAACACATGCTGGAGTCATTAAACAGGGACACGTCTGTCGCTCTTAGCGGTTTCTTTGAAGCGCACTTCATTCGCGGCTTACTATGCGAGTTCCTACGCTACGCATCTACTGTACCTGCGTCCAACAAGCCTTCCAAGGGGAGTTTGGAGATGCAAGGCAAGCCATTTAGTGTCACGGGTAAAGCGAATGACGGAGAGGATCTGCCTATGCTGCCACTGGGCGCAAAGGCGGACCAGGGCGTAGAGAAGATGAAGAGCGGCAAGGGTGGAAAGAAGGAGCAGCGGAGTAAGCGGGAAATGGGCATGCTCATCAGCAAACAGGTTCCCAAGTACAGCTTTGAGCGCGTGGTTGTGTAGAAAAGGCGTATCCCAGCTGTCGATCATTGGTAGCAGCATACATGCAGCCCCTGGGTTGCGATTTTAATGAAGAGATGCTGTTAGCATGTCTTCCAGAAGCACGCGTTTTTCATGCAGCTGACGACGTTTTACACAGGAGGCCGAGGGTGTATAGTGCATGCTGGCCAATAGCATGTATGGATACATAAAAAGACCAAACTCGAGCAGGGCTGCCCAGCTAGTTTGCTCATGTGCGCCTTCAACCACTTTCCCGCCTTGACGGTCTGGCTGGCGGACCTGGATTGTTCACGGAACCTTCCTTCGGCTGTCAAGACCATCGTCTTGCCGCCTGGACTCTGCAAAAATTACTTAGTAGCCATGACACATGCCCCATGCGCAGGGACGATAGCAGGACACGATGAGAGCGAGATCAGCGCGCCGAATGGGTCCGAGGACATGTACGCTAACCCGTCCTGGCCGGGCGCCTGGCCGACTGTATTGCCCACCATGACGTCCCTCGGCCGTACAGAGACACCGACACGAGCTGCTGGCCGCCTACGGAGCATCGGACCGCGCCATGAGCGATTCACCCCCGCTGTGGCATCTTACATACATGGCAATGCTCTGCATGTCTTGTTGTCTTCTTTCCATCTTCCCTCACTTGTGACGCGTCGGCTGTTCCGTCCGTCGCACTCGACCAGCCAACACCGCGATGGCTTCTTCCGCGACAGCCCGGAACGCGGAGAACAGGGATGAAGCCGACTCCAACGCGACTGCAAGATCGACGCCAAGTCAGGAACAGCAACAACCTACCGGCGGCTATCAGCAAAACGTGCCCCAAACGCAAGAGGATGGGGAGACGAAGAAGGAGAAGAAGCCATCAAAGCTGAAAGCAGCATGGGACGGCCTGGGCCTAGACGTTCCAACCCTTCTCATGATGGGCAAAGCAGCGCTGCCGCCGACAATTGCGCTGGCCATGTGCCAAGCAGACGCCGTTGCCCATGAGTACTCGACATTGGGTTACTTGGCTGCCATTATCAGCATTATTGGTTTCTGCATCATGCCGCGCGCAAAGTTTGTCCAAACCATGATCATGAACGTCCTCGGTGCATGTATTGGAGCGGCCGCCGGACTGCTTATGGTCTGGTCCGGCGTCAAGGCACGCGATCACACCACCGATCCGTCCGCACCGCCACAACGTTACAATTCCTCCCAATCCGTCGTTCTGGCGATGTGGCTGTTCTTCCAAATCTATGCCATCAATACCGTCAAGGCAAAGTTTCCGCAATTGACCTTTCCGACAATGTTATATGCCATCTTCGTCAATGTCGCGGCAACTAGTGGTATTTTGTTTCGGACAGTACCACAGTGCGAAGCCTTCATCAAAAGGCTGTTGATAATATTTTTGACAGGGCTTGGGATTGCGACGGGTGTAAGCTTGCTAATCATACCCGTCACCTCGCGGAAAGTTGTCATGAAGGAGTTTGCGGGATACATTGGGCTGCTCAAGGGAGCTCTTGGTGCTCACAAGACCTATCTCCACAGTTTGGAAGATGGCGACATGTATGCGCAAAAGTACGTGCCTGATGAGAGAGACGGGAAAAAGCACCAAACGCGAAAGGACAAGCCAGAAATCGCGGCTATTAAGACGATGACAAGATCGCTGCAGGAACTGCACGGTAAACTCTCTGCAGACCTCCCGTTTGCGAAGCGAGAGATTGCATATGGGAAGCTGACCCCTGACGACCTGGAAGCTATCTCCAAGATGCTCAGATCCATTCTGCTGCCAGTTCTGGGCCTAGCATCAATCATGGACATTTTCGAACGCAGCGCGGAAATAAACCACTGGGACGGGCAAGAAGATGATCATGACGAGGTGGCCCACCAACAAACAGTAAAAGAATGGAACGAAATGTTCAAGTTCGTCCACGAGCCACTCAGCCATATGTTTCAAGCTCTCGATGACGGGCTCACACATGTTGCGTTGAAGTTGCAGTTAGCAGGGCCACCAAAGAAGAAGGGCAAGAATCAAGGTGACACGGAGGCCAAAGGGGACTCTATCAAGCCGGGAGATGCTGGCTTTGTGGACCATCTACAAAAGCAAGCGGATGAGTTCTATAACCAGAAAACGCCTACCCTTCGCTACTGGGTTCAAACCAAGGGTATCAAGCTTCGCGACAGCTATTTCTCCGACCCATCGGCCATCGATGACGAGACATTGCAGCTTATACCCAGTCTCACCACGAGGAAGCGAGATCAACGCCAGCTCTTTCTGATGCTCCACATCATGTTCCTCATGAATGCGACAAGCCGGTCAATCGTTGAATTTGTCAGATTCGCCGACAAAAACGACCAAGCGGCCAAGAAGAACAAGTTCATCTGGCCAGGCGCCCGGCGCTTCAAGAAGTGGGCAAAGAGTGTCTTCCAAAACCAAGACGCCAATTCGGATGACGAGACAACAGCTGCTGGGTTGGAAAGAGGCAATACAACTGTATACATGGGACAGGCGTTCAAAGAAAAGAAGGACCCAGAGCATCTGCCACCTACCAACGCATGGGAAAGGTTTGGCAACAGCATACGCGGAATCGCATCTTTTCTCCGCAGTCCCGAATCAAGCTTCGGCTTTCGCGTCGCTTGTGCAACCATGAGCATAGCTATCGTAGCCTTTCTTCACCGAACACAGACCTTCTTTGTCGAACAACGCTTGGTCTGGGCACTGATTATGGTCACCATCTCCATGACACCCACCGCAGGCCAAGCAATCTTCCAGTTCATCCTACGTATTGCCGGCACAGCTATAGCTATGATTATCGCCTGGCTCATGTGGTACATTCCTGGTCAGAAGACGCCCGGAATAATCGTGTTCCTTTGGTTTTTCATTGCGATCGCGTTCTACATTCCACTCAAGCGTATGGATTTGGTCCTTGTCGGTATCATTAGCGTTGTAACTTCTACAATGATTGTGGGGTACGAGCTGCAAGTCCGCAAGATTGGCAAGCAAGCAGCTGTAGCGGCGACTGGACAGCCTGCGTATGCCATCTATATCCTGGGTCCCTATCGCCTGGCTACAGTTATCGGCGGCCTGGCAGTCGCATTCTTTTGGACCATGTTCCCATACCCGATTACTGAACATTCTGCCCTCCGCCAAAAGCTCGGGGGTGCATTGTACCTCTCTGCAAATTTTTACTCCATTATGCACGAGCAGGTCATGGGCCGTATCCGAGGCGAGCTCGCTGGCGATGAGGAGTGCGACAAGAACAGCCCAGGATACCAGCTCGTCAAAGCCCGAAACAAGGTCTTTTCGAAACACATGCTCACGCTCCAAGGACTGCAGATACACGCTAGTTTTGTGAAATGGGAGTTTCCGCTAGGAGGCAAGTTTCCCAGAGAAGAATACGAAAGGATTATTGGATATATCGAAAAGTACGTATCATGCTGCTTAGGACCTGGCGAGCAGTCCAAGACTAACCATGGCAATAGTATCGTCAATTATACCACCCTCCTGGGCTACACGTCCGCGGCATTCACGAACCCCTCTTTGCAGCAGCAGTCCGACGACCCAAGCTCTCCGTCCGCCTCCACCGACCAAGACATGAGCGCCAAAGCGCACTGGTTCAACGATTTCCGCCGTGTAATCACTAGCGCAAAAGTAACATCGCACGAGACAACCTCTCTCCTCGCCATGCTTTCCTCCTCCATTACAAACGCACAGCCGCTGCCCCCGTATCTGCGCGCACCTCCTGCCGCCGAACTACCGCGTAAACTAGAACAGATCGACCCCGAGATCCTCAGCCTCAGGCACATTGCCGAACCGGGCTACGCAGCGTTTGCAGTCATGAGCGTAAGCACCAGGTGCATAAATATGGAGCTCGAGAAGCTCTTGAAAGCAGTCAAAACGCTCGTGGGCGAACTCGACTTTTCCTTCCACGTCGTTAGCACCAAGGAAGCTGAGGACTCGGGCATCTCGAACGAGACGCTTGTCTCGCGGAGTACAACGAAGAGGGATTGAGAAACCCGCATTCGCTATGACACAATTCGACGTAATTCCTTTTTCGTCTCTCTCTTTCTTCTTTGCATGACTCGGATTTGATGGGGACTGAAGACATCTAGACTTGCGATTACCATGTAGGTGCGACGATTGGCTTTCACGACATTGAAAATGAACGAGCATGTCACGTTTTTTGTATGAGCTTTTTAATTGAAGATACTCTCGTTGTGGTCTCCTCGACGGACCTCAATAGTAAAGGGAAGCGATTTTTTTTATTCATTATTCATTCAACTACGCAACACGCGACCATTACTATTACTATTACCATGTCATCCACCGCATATTTTTTTCACCGCCAGGCCAGCGCCAACAAGAGAGCCAAACTCCCCCATCTCTACTGTTCCATACCATCGCTTTAGCATCGGGAATTCTCCCCTGCTTGGCGATACCGAGCCTTGCGCGTTTGCATGTTTCGTTTCGTTTTTTTTGTGTTTGGGTCACTCCTTCCTTAGTTGCAGGTACCCACCGTCTTGGCCGAATGAATGGGCTTGAAGGCGCCAAAAGTAAAGCACTGGTTCACAGTCTTGATATCGAACTTTTTGGCGCCCGCGCAGTCGAAATCCGCGTAGACTTCCACTGTATCAAGCACCTCTTCGTTACCTCACCTTCTTTCACCCCTCAGGATACCCACGACACGATGGAAACAAGGCACGCTGGCCGGTATCCAGAATGAAAGGCATATAAGAGCGGAAAGGGAAAGAAAAAAAGAGGAAGAGCAACTTACAAGTACAGCCCTTGGGTAGCCGCGCCAAGTCCGCTGGATTAATGGAAAAGGAATTCGTGTTTCCGCTGAAGATGGGGCTGGGCTGGAAACAGCTGCCGTCGGTGGGGATGTAGGCTGTTGTGACGGAGACAGAGGGGTCGCATTTGTCGTAGCTGTAGATGGCGAGCGGAATGGCGTCGAGGCGCTTGATCAGGGTTGTGGGCGCGGCTAAGGTGCTGGTGCTGGCAGCGAGCATGAGGCCGAGGGTGAGGCTTGAGAAGTGCATTTTGGCGAGTTTTTTTTGGTTGGTTGGTGTTGTTGTGTATGTGTGTGTGTGTGTGAATGGAGAGGAAGCGAGAAGGCTGGATGTGTTTTTGCTCGGTGTATGTGTGGGTGTGTTGGTGAGGAGAGAGAGAAAGAGAATTGGCGCGAGCTTATGAGTGCTTTATACATGCCGTGTTGGCCTTGATGCGCTTACTTACTGTATTCAGTTGGGCCAAATCGCTTTCTCATTCTCTAGCACGCCTGCTTTGGCCCGCGGGCGGTCTACGCGCCGACTATTGCTGGACTATTGTCGGGTGATTGGGGCTAGGGGGGGGGCGTTGTGGTAACCCGAGTATGCGGTTCAGAACTGGTGATGATTCCATGGTCCCCGGGAGTTTGGCAAGACGTGTGTAGTCAGGCTATGCTAGTCGAGAAAAGTATTGGCGAGCCGATGCGTGAGGCTAGTTTCTACCGCTGGATATGTAAGCTGTATTTTGCCTATATGTCAGCATGCGTGATGGCTGGGCCGGGGCCTTCCGCTGGAATGTTGCTGAGTGCGTGGTGAAGATAATTTCACATGGTACTCACCATCGTCTAGTGGTATAAGTAACACCCTTTTTTTTTTTTTTTTTTTTTTTTTTTTTTTTTTTTACCA